GGTGGAGGGTAGTTTTGATTGTTGTAGACAATGCATGATGATTAGGTAAACGGAAACTAATCAATGGAATGTGTCATGGAACTTGACGGTTGATAGAATACATTAATTGTGTGTACTGTGTGATTGTATATAGAACCAATGTGTTATCTGTTGAAGTGTTGATATAGCTCGTATGCTTATCTGTTGAAGTGTTGATATAGCTCATATGCTTATCTATTGGAATGTTGATATAGCTCGTATGCTTATCTGTTGAAGTGTTGATATAGCTCATATGCTTATCTATTGGAAATGATGATATAGCTCAAATGCTTATCTGTTGAAGTGTTGATATAGCTCATATGCTTATCTGTTGTAGTGTGATATGGATTATATGCTTATCTATTGAAATGTTTGTTTGATTTGATATAGCACTAAAATGTATATCATTTGAGAAGCATGGGAATGGTTGTCTGACTGTGATACAACACCAATATGTGTATCTATTATGAAGTATGAAATGTTTAAAATGAGTTATTATCTCACCTGAAATAGAAATACCGTAGCCATGAGATGTGATCTCATTCAAAATGATTGGCCTAGTTCTGAATCGTAATTATAAATCAAGAATCTGATAGGAAATGGAAACTGGAATAGAACATGAATATATTAGTCATGGGATTGAATAGTGTTATAAGTTGTTGTGTACGAGTTAAACATTTATCTATTGCTGACATTTTAGTTATCGTTCATACTTTGTTTAGCATATCTCTACTGGGCGTTGTAACCAGCCCGCGGGGGACCTCGCTACAGCTCGGACTCAATTTGTAGTCACGGTTCTAAATCTGAACCAAAGAGTCCAAATCCGGCAGAGAGAGATAAAAATTGGGGTTTTGTTTGGAATAAACCTATATGCAAGTTTGGTAAAAAGGGGAATGAGTTGGATGATGGATTGTGGATGAAAGTGGAACCTTAGAGTTGTTTTGTTAATTATAATTGCCTAATTGTTTTAATTACTTAATGTATATAATTGTTAAAGGAAATGAGGAATTGAATTGGAAATGTTGAAATTGGGAACGTATGGGACTAAAGGGTGTAGTTAAATCACTTATTGCTGACCTAATTGAAATGTTGATATACTATCCATTTGTGCATTTATTTCCTGTTTAGAAATAATTGCTCTGGGCTACCGGTGGAGAGTAGTATTGATTGTTATAGACAATGCATGATGATTAGGCAAACTAAAACTAATCAATCGGATGTGTCATAGAGTATGACGGTTGGTAGAATACATTAACTTTATGTATTGATTGAGTGTATATATGACCAATGTGTTTATATGCATTATGTGTAGCCGATTGATAGAATACATTAACTTTATGTATTGATTGATTATGTATATGATTCTGTGTTTATATGCATTGCTGTGTATGGGAGGAGATGGAGGATGTACTCCACGGTTTAGGGGAAGATGGGGGATGTACCTCTAAACCGGTTGATGGTTAAGGGAGATGGACCAGGGATGCAGCTCATATGCTCTCCCATTGTAGTGATAATATAGCTCATATGCTTATCTGTTGAAGTGTTGATATAGCTGTATGCTTACTGTTGAAGTGTTGATATAGCTCATATGCTTATTCTATTGGAATGTTGATATAGCTCGTATGCTTATCTGTTGAAGTGTTGATATAGCTCATATGCTTATCTATTGGAAATGATGATATAGCTCAAATGCTTATCTGTTGAAGTGTTGATATAGCTCATATGCTTATCTGTTGTAGTGTGATATGGATTATATGCTTATCTATTGAAATGTTTGTTTGATTTGATATAGCACTAAAATGTATATCACCGTCGTTTGTGAAGTATGGAAGTGGTCTATGTGTTATTGGAACAACACCAAAATGTGTATCCACCTTGAATTTTGAAGGTGTGTTCTAGTGATGAACATAATCTCATCAAATGTTTGGCCAGAGTACTGAGCCTTGTTTTCAAACTCAAAGTTGAATAAGAAATGGAAAGTGAATTGTAACATAGACTTGACTGTCATGGAACTGTAATAAGATGTAAATGGAAGTGTAAGTATTGACCATCTATCAGTTGCTAATTTCTTTTAGGCATTGCTCATATTCAGTTTAGTATATTTCTACTTGGGTTGTGGCTCACCCTATATGGGAACATCATTTTCAGGTACAGGTAGCATGCCACCTCTGAGGACATAGCTTGGGAGGCTAGAGGCAGACATACTTTTGTTGCCTTTATTTTTCTTGATTGTATTACATATAGATTTAAGCCAAGGACTTAATGTGTAATTAAGTTAGCACTCTCTTTTGTAACCAAGTGTTAACTTGGAAAGCTTTAAGCCCGTAGGCATTTGCTTTTGTTGTAAACATGTAATACTTTTGTAATGAAATACTTTGATGAATAGATGAATGTGGACTTTTATGTATCAATGCATGTCTCTATATGGATGGGTTTAATGTTATTATTTTGAGGGCGTGACAACTTGGTATCAGAGCATACCGGGTTCGAATACTTTGGGTACTGGGAAGTGATTAGAATCAAAATGGGTTTGTCTCGCTTGATAGAGACTTAGATGTAATGTTATGTTCTTAGGTGATACATGTTTATGTGACTATTTGGGTATGGGATTTAGTTTCTAGGATGTTGATTGGATCCTGGGTTTCT